GCGGATAGTCTGGTCGTGGGCGTCTGATCGAACAGAGCCGAGTGGTTTTTTGGGTTTCAATCACATGCCGGGTTTCCATCGCGTGTTCAATAGCCTAAGCAAGTGCAAACTGGACATGAAATGACATGAACCATTTTTTTCTTGACCATTTTGATGGCCAGAATCCATGGCCGGTTTCAGGGATGCGCCTAGCCGGCCTAGCCTCTGAGCTGTGAGCGCCGGATCGTAACATCGCTTGGTGACAAGTGGGGAAAGTCCGACCACCTGCTGACAGGCTATGTGGAGATCGAAAAGTGTTGACCTATGTTGGTCCTACTTGAAGGTTTCAACTCACAAACAAATCTAAGTCAGTGGCTTGGTGGATGAAAAATTATCCTATAAGCAAAGATTGAAGATAAACACATGAAACGACCGACCGGGTATTTGGGTAGATCCTCACTTATTTTCATAGGCCTATGGCCATGTTTTTTATGGTTGCTCAGGTTCCAGGGGTCTCCATGAATCAACGGTTCATCTTGCCAGCTCGCCATCTGGTTCGGTGAAGCGCCCAGAAAACCGTTCAAGCGCCCCAAACATTCACCCCGAAAACGGTCAGAGAATGGTACCCCAACTCTAAGAACATACTGTGCAATACAACGAACATATACATAAAAGATACGATACGTAGCGTGAATCTTTTGAGTCAGCACGGGACAGGGCCCCAAGTCGGGTACTAGAAATGGAACATTTTGGGGGGGCCTGTCTCACGTGCCATCTACTCTGGAATCAATGGCAAGAATGGATGAACATGGATAAACTGTAAACTCACATAGCATGGGGACCATTGAGGACCGGTCATATGAAGTCATGCGTCCGGAGAGGAGGAAGAGCTGAAACTCTATTATTTTGATGCGTTTAAGATTTCATTCTTGCAAGAGTGGATCATTTCTGCTTGGCACTTCCAGGTTGAACACCAAATTTCATGCGACAGTGGAGAAAAGAAACACATTCCCTGCTCACCGTCGCTTGCCACTGCACACGTGGAACGCGCGTCACCTGGACCAACGTGCGATGAACAAGTTGTGCAGTTCGCAGTTGACCAAATGCCAACTATCAGGATACCCAAGAACAGTCCAGCACCTAGTGATCCTATAGTTCCCCAACTTCTTCAAACACTTCGGGTTATCCAGAGTTAGCCACTGCGTCGCGGGGTTTGCTCATCAACTTCTTCGAAGAACAAACATGAAGGTTGCCGCAGTTGAACTTAAACAAATGGTGAAAGCTGGGTGGTGGGGGTAGAAATGATCTTGGCCTTGAAATATCATCAAGAGTCTGCATTCGGCCCACGCACTCTGAACTGATCTGTTCAACAAGTAAGTCTAGGCAGAAATGTATTGTTCAGGGGGGTTCGTGACTTTCTCCTTTGGCATTTTGAGATATTTGAGTGTCTTCCCATTCATCTGGGTGCACCTTCGGTTTCTTCGTGATCTAAACAAACGCGACGTCTCTTCAGAAATGGCCTTAATCCGATCAGCCTTTTCTTCAGAACGCGGAGGTTAGCCTTTCAGTCCCTCCCTTCGTTGCAACGCCTTCCAGAATGGAAGGCAACCAAAAAGCTCCTAGTAGCGGGATTGCTCCTAGTAGTACGGCCATGAGCCACGTCCGTAGCGATGCCCTTTGCTCCTAGAAGGACGTTGCCAAAGCCTCCCACATCAAAGTTCAATGACTCCAGCCGCTCCGGCCTTTTTTCTCTTCACTCCAACCTGCGGCGCTTCATTGACTGACATCCGCTGCTTGTATCAGCTGGATTGATGTGGGATTTTCTCTCAAGCAACGCTTGCACGACGTGCCAGTGGCCGCGGAGGGCTGCTAAGTGCAAAGGGGTTAAGCCATCCGAAGATGTTGCTTCCTGGTTGGTTCCAGTGACTGCTAACAAACACGCCACTTCGACATGCCCCATATCACACGCTGAGTGCAAAGCTGTACAACCATCTGCATCTGTTGCATCCTTGTCGGCTCCAGCCTGAACCAACAATTGCACAACTTCCAACTGGCCGCTAAGAGCTGCCAAATGCATAGGGGCTGCGCCGTCTGCATCGGCTGCATTCTTGTTAGCTCCAGCCTCAAGCAGCACTTGTACCACTTTCGCATGGTTTTTGTAGGCGGCCAAATGTAAAGGTGCTGAGCCATCTGTGCGTGTTGCTTCCTTGTTGGCTCCAGCCTCCAGCAACAATTGCACGACTTCCCAATCTCCATTGTCACACGCATAGTGCAAAGATGAATCACCATTTGCATCAATTGCATCCTTGTTAGCTCCGGCCTCAAGAAGCACTTGCACTAGTTGCAAGTTGCCACTACAAGTCGCCCAATGCAAAGGGGATGTGCCTTCTGAACATGTTGCATCTTTGTTGGCTCCAGCCTCAAGCATTAATTGCACGACTTCCAAATGGTCATTGTCACATGCTATGTGCAAAGCTGTATAACCATCTGCATTTGTT